AACAGCAGCAAGAGAAATTTGTGGCGGGCTACCTCATTCAGAAAAACCCTTTAATTTAATTTAGAATTTGTTCAATTTAAACTCTGCAACAAACTGGCGATCTGTCCCGAGTGTACCCCACCTTTCACACTAAGAATGCTAGGATAGGCTCCAACCCAACCCCCACGCCAGCAACCATGAATTGGTTAAGAGAGAGAAAATGGATGGGTGGATGTTCAGTGTAAACTTCTTGGTTATTGTGTTATTTCCATGATATATGAAACATTAAACAAATGTTGGACTGGTGCTGCTAATGAGCAGCTGTTTCCAATAATGTCATCCTCGAATGCTGCAAAAAAGAGAGAGAAAAACTCTTACACAGAAATTAAGTCGCTGACGCTGATTAGAGCTGAGTCACTAAACAACTCTCACATGGTAGCAGAGCAGATTGGGGGGGTGTGACGTATTTGTTACACACACCCGTTTTGCGACCTGTTTGTTAAAGTATACTCTCCTTCCTTAGCTGGAAACAGTCTGGTCCAGATGTTTGACCCGACTGTATTATAATCACTGACTGAGTGGGAGACAGGAGCGCGGCGGGAAAAGGAAGCATGTGTGTACATGTGTCTTAAAGACATATCCCCACATATGTTCACCTCATTATCATTCAGCTGCAGCTCACTCTGCTGGAATGCAGGGTAGCAAACACATGTCCACCTCCAAATCCCTGGTGACATATTAGCTAAACACACACACATGCACACACATGCACACACACACAGACCCTACTTCATGCCACCAGCCCCACTTCCTGAGAGCCCCATCACATCACCCTCCACTCCACATTTGGACTTCGAAAATCAGACTGCTTTCGTGTACTTACACTAGAGGGAAGGGGGGGGAAGAAAAAAGAAAGAGCGTGCCTGGATATTTAACTGACACAGAAGAGATGCCATGGAGTCAGCGGAGAGATGCTTCTAATGAAAAGCACATGACTGGATCTGAGTGCAGTCATCTAAACAATGGCGGGGTGGGTGGGAGACAAAGAGGAGATGCAGTTACAGCTGGGCTTTCCCTCACAGAGGTCCAGTGTTTGTTTCTCAAAGACTTCAGATACAGAAACTAAGGCTTGTTGCAAACACGCAAATATGGCATGCAAACACATCATGGTGCCCTGGTGTTTGTGTATTTAGTTGTTTAATTTTTCAGACCTACACACTCATCATATAGTTGACAAAAATAAAATAATAACAAACTGTACAACGGTTCAGACACATAAAAGAGCCGGTGGTCTACCAGAAGGAATTAAGATTAAACCTCTGTGGCTCTGAGCCAAGCTAAGGGGGTGAAAAAAAGAACCACTGTGACCTTCAGAGGGAAAGAAGCCAGGGAACAAACCCAACAGGCAGGCTTGTCCACCAAAGGAGAGCGAGAGGGGGAGAGAGAGGGAAGGGAGGGCTAGGGACCAGAGGAACAGAGGAAGAGCAAGAGGGAGTGAGGGAGCGAGGGATAGGAGAAGAGTGAGAGAGGCAGAGAGAAGAAAAGACACAAAACTTGTGACTTGACAAAAGAGGGCAGGTACCAGAGGCAGGTAAGACCCTTTATTTGTTGTTTCCACTGAAGGGACCTGATGAGTAAAGGTAAGAATGCAGACAGAGTTCTGTGCATGTGTGTGTGTGAGTGTGAAACAGAGAAGCCAGGAGAGGCAGTGAGGGAAGTGTTTGTGGACAGAAGGGGAATCCTGGCACGGGCACAGCTGGGCCATGCTGCCGAGTTTCTATAGAAACAGTTTGCCATACAAAGTGGTACTCTGTCCTCCAGGGAGCTGCCACACGCTGTGACTCTGCTGCTTTTCTGTGCTGCTGCACGCTCACCTTGATTTCATCTTTTTCCATTAGTGAGTGGAGAGAGCTGCAACTGCAGTGCAAGTGAAAATATGCAGACTAGAAGAGCTTTAGCTGCTGTTTTTTTTACAAAAGAAATGCCATATTGCTCACTTTTGGCAATCAGATGGATCCCCGGGGGTTTTAAAGGCGGTGCACAAATACATTTTTGGCTTCTTCTGTGGTGAATTCAGATGGATGCAGTTCCTACATGGGTGTAAACTAACAGTTTAAGAAGCTGAAATGGAACGTTCTGGAAATGGTTTAAAAACAAGCATGCACTGAAAAAAATGTGCAATCACATGATGTGCTGACATAAGAAGGTTTGTGAAGTTTGTGAAGAGTTTGAAAAGAAAAACAGCAGCTACTTTGGAGCTGGCTGATGGCGATGTGTACAAAGACGCGGGGATGAAAGTTTCCAGATTTCTGATGTTCGTTCTTCTGCTCTCAGCTATGTTGACATTATATCTACTGTCGTTTGGCTTCTTAATAAATTTCTCATGTTTTATTAGAGCATCAAAGAGCACACTTAGTTGGAGTTTTCGTATTTCTAAATGTATGGAAAACATCTGTACATGTATATATATAATATACACTAGATGTTAGAGAAAATCTTGGCATAACCTTTGTGATTATTGTGCTTAGTCACAGTTACAGGACTCAGATGAGTGAAGTCGACTGGGGATGATGTAACTTTTCATCATGACTTTTTTTAAAAAGTGGTTTTATGAAACACTAGTTTTTTTCTTTCTTTCTTTTTTTGGTAAAGGAACGACGGGCTGTTCTGCCAAAAAAAAAAAAGGTTGGAAAGAGCTCATCATCAGTGATGAAAAGGGCGTTATGAAACTGAAAATTTTTGAGATATAACCTAAAACTCACACTAATTCCTAAGACTTTCTACTTTTCCTTTAACCAAATAATTCTAAACTTTAAATATATATATATATAAAGCAAACTGTTTAATAGCTGCACCTGAAAAATATCAGCAGTAAAGTAAGATTGTGTTATTTTTTAGTAATGTTTAACTTTTATCTCACCAGTACTTGGATATATCTTTTTAACCTTGCAAACAGCTGTTGAGAACGTAATACCACCACTTAGTAGGTCCACATGGTTTTCATCAAGCCCAGTAAGACAAAAGTCTCTGATGTTTAAAATATGCAGATCCAGTTCAAAGTCACAGTAGATTTTGTTTGTTTTAAAGCTTTGCAACAGAGTGTTTGTGTCATGTACTAGCAGTGATCTCTGTCCTACCATCCTAAGTATAGTTCTCATGCTGATAACGATCAGATTAACTCATTGAGGTCATAAATAACAAACTGGTGAATCAGCCATTGTGGATATTGAGTCTTTAATTGTTTGCCAAACTTCTGGTCATAACAGCAGAACGACAGGAAGGAAATCTGGCTCTGGATTTAAACGAGGGGTTGCAAGGCTCTGAGAGGGAAAATGAAGGGCAGTGCCAGGGAATGCTGTCAGAGAAATGTTCAGATTTGTTATTTCAAGCATTTTACATTTTAGATATGAGGCTCATTCCTGCGCCATGATTTATATCAAACTGATCAAAGGCAAAGAGAAAGAGCACTGGAAACAAATGGTGCCTCTGTGATGAGAGTTTGTTTTTCTAAATCTTTGTGATACTTTGTGATACTGCACACGGCCATTAACAACCAGAAGAGTCTGTTCAGTGACAGGTTGCTTCTCCCCAAGACAAGAACTAACAGACTTAAAAACTCCTTTGTCCCACACGCCATCAGACTGTTTAACTCCTCTCTG